TTCTTGGTGGGTTCGACTAGGCAGTCCCATTTGCTGTCTGGGCTGCGTGTAGAGGGGGCAAGGGCCCTGAGCTGATGATGAGCCTTACCAGCCCGACTGTGCCAGGATCACCTGAACAATCTGTTGCATATTATGTTCAATCTGCAAAACATAATAATCCACCTGCCACTTAACGTGCAAGTCGCTCTAGAAAGGGGAGAATAATACACATGCATTGATGCTTTGTCACTGTCGTTCACTGTTCAGGAACCTGTTTGAAAGCGCAGATTAAAAATAGACGTTTTTTACACTTGCTGAAAGGTGTCAGGCTATAGGCTTATTGGAATCTGGTCAAACTCAGCTTCAGGTTGCTGTCCGCTTTGATGTGAGTCAGAGTGCTATTGGTAGACTGTGGCAGAGATTTCAAGCCAATGGGTCCGTGGGATGTGCATGTCCACCAGGTCGCCCCAGAGTCACAACAGTCCGAGATGACAGGCACATGATTAACACTGCGTTACATAACAGATTCCTTATCGCATCCGATCTTCAGACAGAACACTTCAATGTTTACAATGTAAGGATGTGCAGGTGCACCGTTCGTCGACGTTTAAGCGCAGCCGGACCTGCAGTTCGTCCACCACTAACACCACGTCGCAGGCAGGCGCGTTTGAGATCGAGTAGACATCATGGCCGATATAAGAGATTATGGCTCCTCCTAAAGCAGTACCATTCCTGCAAGCTACGCATGGCCTTTATGGTCCACCCTCTTTACTACAAGACGACAACGCTAGGCCTCATAGGGCCAGGATTGCCACGGAACTCTGTAGACATCCGGGTGTAGAGCGGATGGAGTGGCCAGCATGCTCGCCAGACCTCAACCCAAATGACCATGCCTGGGATGAACTCCGTCGACGTGTGTACACACGTCACCCATCACCTTTGGATCTCCCAGGACTCTGCAGAGCTCTAGTAGAGGAATGGAAAGCGATTCCGCAAGATTCCTTAATGAACTTGATCAGGATCATGAGAACAAAGTGCACCTGTGTCCTGGACGCGCGAGGAGGGTACACAAGATATTAAATGATCGAGTGCTTCATGTTTGTCATTTTCATTTTTTTGGGGTTGGTCTATACAACTGGGGCCGTATTTATAAAAATTCTTAGAATTGGTAAGAATTCTTAAATCAATAAAATTCTAAGAATTTCACTATATTTACACGTAAGTGTTAAGAATTTCTTAAGTCACATTCATAAAACTTTGTACTCTAAGAATTACTCCTAAGTATGACACATATTACTTTCTTTGATTCCACTAACAGTTAGGTTTCCTGTTCCCCTTTTTCGCATTCATTTTGTTCTCGTCATGAACAAACCAAAGATTGTCGTCTGAAAAGTTTGCACGAGACAACTTGCAGACATAGATTTATTTAAAAAAACACATTTTGGGGTTAACATAACTCGATTTACGTACCTTTTCAAGTTTTGGTCAGGAAGCTCCTCTTCCGGTAACAGAACGTAAACAAACTAAACTCGGTTCAGTCTGCTATTCAACTCTTCTTACATGTCAGCGCTAGCGCTGCCATCAACATGACGTAAGCTATTTATAACCTCGGGGAATTCCCGGATTTGCCTTGGCTACAGCGCTGAGTATTTTCTTAAGAACGAACTCCCATTCTTAGTTAAAGTTACTCTTAGACCCTTTATGAATAATTCTTAAGAGTTACTTTTAGCTAAGATTTTGTTTTGGTAATCTTAGAGCAAAACTAAGAATTTTCTTAGAATTTTTATAAATACGGCCCCTGATGTTTGCTCGTGCTGTTTAAAATTGTCTGTATGTCACGATGTGTCACGTTTGTCATTACATTAAACATTATGATGACACTCTTAGTTCTATTATTTCTGATCAACTTTTCTTTACATGTGCTATATATCATTTGACCCTTTATCAATGAGGCCTATATAACTGCCATGCTCATAAAACAAATACCCAGAAACATAATTACTGTTTAGCAATTAAAATGTTATTTTACATTTGACCTTAGATGCATTTATATTTTTTGTCTCGTATAATTATTTATCTCACCATATGATTCAGAAATATTGCTGACTGGGTTGTCAAAATTATCCCACATGACAAACTTATCGAAAGAGTTCATTCCTTGATCCATGTTTTCCTTTGGTTTAAACACGTTGGGGATTACAAATATAGCTACTTATCCATCTTCAGAGCTTCAGGATATTCTGTCAAAATTGAAAGAACATGCCATTTGCAGTATTTGGAGAAAACAATATGTGAAATGTATTTCTCAATGATGACATGTTTCTGAAATTTTGGGCTTAGGCTTTTAATAAAAAAGTTGGCCCTTCTTTTTCAAATTGGTTACTGGAAATTCTAGCGGCAGTAAAGGGGCGCTAGGTAGCTTAGTGGGTTAAAGCGTTCCCTTGTCACGCCGAAGACCCGGGTTCGATTCCACACATGGGTACAATCTGTGAAGCTAATTTCTATTGTCCCCGCCCTGATTTTATTGGAATATTGCTAAAAGCGGCGTTAACCTAAACTCACTCACTCACTCTAGAAGAACATGTGTGTGCATAAACCGTGTGTTTGAAAGTCTGACTATTTATATGTATATTATTAATAATTAACTACCATGTTGTCCATCCTGTCATTTTCATGTATGAATGAAGATATTATCAGATACATTAGCCTAATTGCCTTTGTGTAACATGTATTTTGACGTTGAAAAACAGTAGATCAAGCAAATGAACATAAAAGCTGAGCAATGAGAATGTTAACTCAACTCTACTTGTGTAATTAATTCCGAACTGTCAAATAAAAAACAACGCATAACGTATATAGACCGCCCTTAACATGTTAACTCGTAAATGGTATCCTTACTATCTTTGTTGTGTAAATATTATAGAAATAGTTGAAAATTCAAATCTCGTATGCTTAAGATTTACAGGTGAATCTTTATACTGGCTTTCCCTTTATTTGGGCAAACTTTTTCTTAATATGCCGACAGGAATTGTTGGCTTTCTGAATGACTGGTCTTGCATCTTTTTAACGTCAGTTCCAGGATGGATGCTCGAGTGTGACAGAGACATGATGATCTGAAATGACTGGCACTTGAATTTGTCTAATAGGTGCCATGGTATTGACTTTCCCGTGGTTTAAACAAGAAATTTTAGGGAAAAGGCCATCTTCTACTTGGAATATACTTGTCTCTTCTTGTGAAATAAGTTATTCATATATTCCTCTATTGCGTGATTTTCACAAGAGATTGAACCACAATCGGGTACAGATGTGTAATTTAATATCCGGGTGCAAGATAGCTGTAATCTGTCGTCACATTTATAGTTTGTTTTGTGTCCGTCCATGTTGGTGGGCACTTCTACTACTACATAACTGATGTACACAAAAAAAACAGGTAATGTTAGAATCATGTAGGTTTCCGATCATGGAAACTATGATTGATGGTTTCCGGCCGTTTCCTGGAAACTGCCGGAAACCAGCAAAGTTAGTTTCCAGAAATGGAAACTTACAGTAAAGTATCATTGGTAGTTTCCATTGCATAAAGCAACTGGAAACCATCACGAATTTTTTTCCATTAATGAGTACTTATGTCCCTCTGACTTTATTCATAATTAGAATGATGCGTATTCTCAAATCTTGGTGAAATACCTGTTAATTACTCCTGCAAAGTTTTGCCCAAGCACGTTGGTTTCTGGAACCTGCATCATATTAGGCTATCAACCCTCACTCACTCGTGTTCAATTACAAGACTCAGGATTGCATTATTTGATGTATCAGTCGTGGGGGGAACTACTGTTGATTAAAGCTGGGTATAATTGTTGTATCACTCGTGGGAGGAACTACTGTTGATTAAAGCTGGGTGTACAGATGATCATAATCATTGACTTTACAGAAGATGCGCTCAAACTCTCAGAAGCCATGACATCCATCTTAATTTGCACTTGCTTATCTTACCCTAATCAGGATTCTTTTAATCCCAGAATTGAATTCAGAAGCACACACACTTTTACAAATCAACAACGGAAGTAAATTCACACCTCATATAACGTTTATTGACATTCATTCAAGAGAGAATGGGCGTAAGAAATGTTAATATTGCGGAACACTCAAGAGAGGAACTTATATTTAGGTACATGTATAATCGTTCATTCACTCGACCACATTTTACACTACTGAAACAAATGCAAATACAGTATGACCGTATTTGCGTATGTTCATCTATGTGTAGTAACTGTGTGGTAGTGATATGAAGTAAACAGTGTCTATTTAATACGAATATATGAAGTCATTATGAACCACGACATGTGCCAGCTGGGAAACTTAGGGTGGCCAGTCCTGCTGCTCCGAGGATACAGGTCACAGGTGAGGATTTACCATCCACGTTGAACCAGAAGGAGACAGTTTCGTCGACAGCTCCGGTGAGGCTGATGGTGATATCATCGGCAATGTTGATGTCCGTCACTCTCTGGGGTGACATCGGCACCCACTTGTCTAACTCACCCTGGATGAGAACTTGTATGCTGCAGGGGAAACCATTGATATCGGCGTTCACTTCGTTCAGACAAAATGTATGCTTCATTTATACACTTTAAAATTTAAAAAATACAACCCAAACTTGTAAAGGTTGTTTACAATGTGTCCTACTGTGGATTAAATCACTTGAAGTCATCTGTGCTTACAGTTTTGGAAATTATCATGTCCACTCAAGTAAAACATATTTCCTAATCGAAAAATCGGTATCTTCAATGATACCTTCAAGGTATATTCACTGCTTCATTTAGGTAAATTCTCTTAATGTCTGGGACCTCGATGAAGTGCACAAGAGAAAATCCTTAGAATGCTGTGGAAGTATTTATCACTTTCGGTTTATAATGTTTCAGACATTACGTATATATAGCAGAGTTAATATTGATTTGCTTGATATATTGGATCAGTTTTGATATTTATTCATATCTGCATGATTTGAAACAAAGTAATACACCTACCCATTGATGCTCAGTACAGGTGATACATAGAAGAGACAGAAGTCAGCCATGGTACAGCCACTCATTGTCAAAGGCTGGGGGTCTGTCAAAGGTTGAATCTTGTTGGGATTATTGGCTGGGAAAACCATGGAGTTCGGAAACTGGAAATATTAACGTTCATTTTAGCAGCACACCTGACTAATTACAGGTAAACCGAAACAGTAAACTACGGGAATCATGTGGCAGTAGAAATAAGGGAAGAAGAAACGTAATGTCCTACCCCTTGATATCCAGCCATGCAAGGTGTCATGGTGTAGTTTCCCCTGAAGATCTGCAGCGAGGATGATACCGTACTTGTTCTCCACCAAAATCCGAATAGGTGGACCACACCTCCCCATCAGGACCCTCAAAGTCTGACCAAGCCATCTTGAAAATATTCATGACAATAAACCTTCCATGCTATAAAGGGATTTATGCCATTTCATTGTGTTAAAGGATGCTGTCCTATGCCATTTAAGCAGGCATAAACCACTGCGAGGTAGCACAAAACACTCCTTCGATCATACCTTGTTACCATTACAGTTAATCATTTCAACCTGCAGTATTATGTCCATTGTTGGTTTAAACATGTCATTGGTGAGATGTACAGTGGCATCTGTTATAGAGTAGAACTACTCACGGACGATATGAGAAGCAGAGGTATTGAAGTGGACGGTGTTCGAGAGTGTGTTATGTAGGTGTGTGGTGAAAAGAATGTTTTATCAGATAATGGCATAAGTACAACTTGAATCACTCTTGCTGGAACCGTAGATTTAGCCCCCAAACTAGTCACTATAAAGACTTGAAAATTAAAAACTGCAATACTGGAAGGTGTTTCACTTGTTCTCTTAAAAAAAGGAACTAAAAACATCCTCATACATATCAAGGGTTACAAATGCATGATATCCACATCAGGCTACATAAAAGTAAAACAACGTGCGAACTTACCCTCCGTATTCTGTTGTCAATTGACGTCGCCGGTCGCGATGGTTTCAGGATTAGGCCATCAGCATTTACAGATCTGTGCAAAAATAGAAGTGGTAGGAGCAGTGGTGAAATTTACATGGGAGTACTTATAAAACAGAAATAAAATGTTTTAAATACGGGAGTAATGTTAACTAAATCCATGAGTGAAAAATAATAAAAATACATAGTAAGTGAATAACATATTCAGGAGAAATAGATAAGAAATACATGTGTGAAAAAGACTTACTGGAGTAAACATAGATAAATAGAACTGGAAGCAAACGTATAATCATGGAGGATAAAATATCACTGCACAGAACGATTTGGAATTTAGAACTAACAGCCAACCTACTTCATGGTGAGTGTCTTGTTTGTGCCTCCCACCATGTCACTAATCCCCACTGGGCCTGTACTTAAGGTTGCAACCACGGCATTCAGTGATGTGTGGGGTTCCGACAAATCTGGAACCCATTCAATACATATCAAGCTTCTGCCTCTACAAATGTAGTCATGGCATGCTATGAATATTACACACTTCACCTGATTGAGAATATTTTCTTAAGAACGATGGAATGAAATCAACATAACATTACTTCCTCAAAGGTTTTATTCCAATTGGAAAGTAATGTCATGTTGATTCAGAACTAGAGACGTGTATGGTTCTGAAGAATCTGCAACACATTATTCAATACCAATCAACAATGTGTCGTTAGAAATCTAGTCATGTGCTTCATGTTGAAAATACTATTAATGTTGATTCAAAACTAATTTTGTACATACTGTAGCCATTTCCGGGTTGAACGCTGGTTGTCCAAAAATTATCCTTGAAGGGTGCAATACCAATAGACCATGAAAATAGTGACGTCACACCGATCTTCCAGTTGTCAGTGTCTGGTCGGTTGTCATGGCTAACACGAGCCTGAAACAAATGTTCAATAACGTGACGAAGTTTCAAATGACAAAAGGTATACATGTATCTGGTCTGTTTTCAGGACGATTATGTCGACAAATGGCTAAACAAATACTCATGTTTCTTCTTCAACAAGAGAAGTCGCTATGTATTTCACTCCGTGGTGTGTCTCTCATGTGTATATAGCTACATTAGTGGACACCCACGCTTAATTATAGATTTACTCATTCCATTTGGCGGATAACCATACTCAAATCAACTCGCTCTCAACTGGGTGACAATAGATATTTCCAGAAATCCATAATCCCAAGTCTCAAACAAAACAATACATTAGCGTTTCTGTGATATTGCTAAGATCTGAATACAACCATTCCTGTTCTCACCTGTGTGACGACAGGTATTTCCAGAGACTGTAGCATATGTCGCGGGTAGGACATGCAGTACTGGATGGTCAGCCCATTCTTGGCAGCCCCATTCCCCATCTGAGTCAACCATTGGCGGCCAAGGTCAATGTCAGTCAGGAGCTTTTGGATTTGTTCAAATTCTTCATTGAGGTAATCCTACAAAAAGGAAATGAATGCATTGAAAACAATACAATGAATGTATGCTGAAATATTGAATATGCTCATATCTATTTGGTTATAAGTGGTAGTACCTGTTCGTAGACAAACAGACCCCAATCCCTTGACTCAGCGAGCAGATCATCCCAAAATCTCTGAAACGAAATGAGAAAGATGTCTAAAGGTTTTTGTTGAATGGATGGAACATGAACAAAATACCCTTCTCAAATGATGATGAGGTGAAGAAGGAAAGGATTATATTGTACCAATTGAACAAAACATGAGTGAGTACCTCTTCCAGAGGTAAAGCCTTGTGACCATCGATCAGGAAGTCATAACTTCCCCCATTAGCCCTTGCGTAAGTTGTGTTGCTTGACCTACAATGTTAACAAACCATCAAACATTTAATGATATAGTGTTTTTTTGTACACATCTATAGGCTTCACGGATAGAAGCAACTCATATTGACGTATCAAAACTAATACAAACATCTTAAATTTTGTTTTTGACTGTGAAATGACGTATTTGATACGGAATTTCCTTTTTCTTTGAGCAATTGTTTTTGTTTAACTGGTATTGATATTAAAACTCCTTACAGAGTTGAGAAAGTATAATGATTTTGACAGGTATCTTAAATATAATAACTTTGCATTTAGATTAATATGATGATTTTAATTTAATTCCTGGGCCTGGCTTACCAGTACATACTGTGGGCCACGACGGGATACTGTGTCTTGTTATAAAGCCACCTTTATCACAGGATGAAGTAAAGAAGACGAAAACGTGTTAGTTTCCGAGAATTAAGTCAAAATTTCATCTTGGGGAAAATTATGGTACTCTACAACTTTAGATAACATATGGGATATAAATCAAGTTTCGATTTGACACGCATAAAGGTCTTATAAAGATATATATATCCGTGCATAAAATAAGCACCACCCTGTATTTTTAAAACTTAATTTTGCCTGAAACGAACTTCTAAATTCTTTCCAAAAAATATAATGAGTAAGCATTTAACATTTCAAAAACGAAAACATCATTGAAATTACCATGTACTTTAATTATTAATGGATAATTGCCTATATTTAAAACTGGTGTTTTCTGTCCTAAAACAAGTAACCTTATTTTGAAAAGTGAAAGTAATAACTGATTGTTATGTGGCCTATAAATTAGTTATTTATTGTGAATGTATGAAAATTTGTAAACTAAGATTTAGGAAACGTTACAGTCAAACTCAAAAAAGTAAAATTTTGAAATGCAGTAAAAGTTGCTGTACAAACAAACAGATTTTAGCTGTAATTATCAATATCCGGCAAGGAGAAGTGTTCATTCAATACAATAAACTCAAAATCATATTAAAAAAATCCAAAATCTTATTAAAGTGTCCTTTTTCAGTTTTTGTCAGTTAGCAAACTGAATTGTTGGAAAAAGGTGTGACTCCTTGACATTCGGGTTCTTCCTGATTATGCATAATCAAATTTTACTTGATGTGTAAATGTCATCTTGGTATGTAACAGAATTGTTATTTTTAGTCAAAACTTAATTTAATCGTGTAGTTTGAGCGGAAGAGGAATAGTTATTTTGGGTAACAATTCAGTCCAATCACATTTTCATCAACATATTCTTTCATAAAGAATAGAAAAGGTTATGGTATTTGTAAAACTGTCAATGGATAAAGCTTCTTTAACTGCAGGTTGATTAAAATGTAGGCTGTACCCTAACTTTTCTGTAGAATCACATCTTATTTTCAAAATAGAGTGGTGCTTAATTAATGCACGGGTGTATAAATGATTGCAGGAATATAGAACTATTTACGCAATATGTTTCTAACAGGAAATGAGCATAATATTATATATATCATTTAACAGATTAATGAAATATTTTCTCAGGTACAAAAACAGATGAAAAATAGCTCACTGCATTCCATTTGGGAAGATCTTCGGTTGAGCTGTCCATGTTACAACACCATGGTCATTGTCCCAGTAGTACCACCATTCGTCGTACTGAATGTACCTGGCAAGCAAACAACAAGCGCTTAGCCGTAGTAGTGGCACCAAGCGTCATATTGGATGTATTGTCCCATTGGTACCATCAATTATCGTACCGGATGTACATTGCAAGTTAACAAGGTGTCGTACTAACATTCGTATGGACCTAGTAAGTAATCAACACGATCATTGTCCAAATATAACCCATGAATATATAATAATCCTGCCCGAACGGACCAATAATGTAGCCAGTAAACATTATGGCGATTGTTCCAGATGCAAGTAATATATCAATCACCGTCGTAAATCGTTTGATACATGCACATTTCGCTGTAAAAATGATAAAATGAAAGAGCGTTTTAAAAGGTCTATATAAATATGTAACCGTCTCTACATTTAAGACAAAAATCAAAGGTACACCTACAGAATACCGGATACCTACCAGGCATATTGTTTAGTGTCAAGTCACCCTAACCCTAACGCTATCCCTAACCCTAACCCTTACCCTTACCCTAACCCTTACCCTAACCCTAAACATAACCCTAAACCTATCCCTTCTTCTACATTCTTGAAAGCACAACTCCGTAATATTACTCGCTGAATAAGAACAGAACGTTGCCCTTGGATCTGGAACGTATGGGGGAAGACCTTTGATTCATGGCACTCTTCGATAACATATTTATTGTTTGGAGTGGGTAAATCTACCAACCTGACGGGTACCCCCATCTGCCCCATGTAGCTCTTGAGATCCAATACTGTGTCTTGGTCGTTCTTTCCTTTCTCTGTCCGGTAGTAGTAATACGCCCCTGAACATACAAACACGATCTTTTGGATTTTCCAGCGTTTTTTTAACGTGACATGAATTGTGAATTGTGACATGTACGCTTTTCACAGGGCGACGTGCGCAACAATATGCTGTTGTTGCGTATAAAGCTTCGGAACAACCACAAGTAGTGCGCATACATGTGCGAATAAAGTAAATCCTCCAGTAAAAGTAAATATTGTGGTTAAACATTATGTGAGTACAATATTTAAACTGTAATCACGGAAGTCCAAATATTCTCACCATTGTCCATCCAGTATCCTAAGTAGTTGATGGTAAAGTCGGACTTCATATATTGATCTGTACGTCCATGCCATCGTTGTAAGACCTGACCCCAGCTTACGGAGGCCTACAACAACAATCAAATATTTCTTGAACAAAGGTACAAAGCATTTGATTATTATGATGAAAGTGTTGAAAGATTTTCAGGAAGTGGAAATATGCCGACGAAATTAAATAATGTTTCGGCGGAAGAAAAGTAGCGAAAAAGACCAGAGCGATTCCATGCTTGAAGAGTAAGGTAATAGATGCTGTAACGTGATGTTCGCAGCTACATCAAGTTGAATGACAAGTACCTTATTAATCCCCTGGTTTCCACAGAAAAGAATAAAGCTGGTTTCAACACCAACAGGGACATTTTCAACTCCCCCCATCGTCCCCCAAAAGACATTGTCCCCGCCGGTGCTGGAGTTCTGACGCCATATTGATGACGACATAAACCGACTGGCAGGGGAGATAATCAGTGTATTTGCAGTCTTCACTCGATCAAATAAAGTCAGGGGTCCACCTTCAATCCCGTCGTTGATTTTAAATGATGATGGTCCCCACCTTGAGAACAAGTATACAATAGTTAAAACTGATTGGAAATGACAATATAAAACTGTATATAACACGTCGTTACGTCTAGATTTGCAAGAGATGGTCCACTGGTTAGTTGGGAGATGGAGCAGCACCATTTGAAATTGATTGAAAATTGAAATGTAAAACGAGTTATTTTATAAGAGAATACTTTTTAATTTATAAGGTCTACTTGTTATTTCATTCTTTAGGTAAATGGGATTCAATTACACCTAAAGCCAACTGGAGTCAACCCGTTTTGAAAAATGAACTTGCATGCACGAGCAGATGGTTGCTGGTGTCATCAACTGTTGCATCTTCTGGCAAAACAACAGACATTAGAGGATTGATGTGTGTTCCCTTCAACACGTACAACATCAACAGTACGAGTACTCTCTGACATGAAGCCATGACCCTTGAACCAAACACCAGTCCTCCATAAACAAGAACCATTTTTCATATCCGGGAATATGCGATGCTATTTTGTCTGGAATCAACTGGGGGGGGGGGGCTAGTTAGGAAGAAGATCTGCATGAAAGAGCATCTGCTTGCTGGGGACGGTGACAGCATCCATTTTGGGGCAAAACACATCCGATAGTTTATGTGTGGTCCTGACATAATATCATGTTTATCTATGTTTGGCTACGAGTACTTACTGTCCTGCCATGAGACCCAAGCTCCCAGACATGAGCCCTGCATAACTGAGGTATCCTAATGGAATGGTTGACTCTTGAATTAGAAATCCAGGAAAGCCAGAAATGGTGAAGGCAGTGCTGTTGGAGGCGGTGTTGTTTGCTCCATTGATGTAACGCTGTTGTCGTCATTGATGGAAGACAGAAAGACGAGGTAAAATATGAAGAGGCAGCGACTTTCAACAAAACCCCGGGACGAGTTTTCTAAAAGTACTACATTAATAACTCGTTGTGAAAAACGTTTGCGAAGTCTTTGCAAAAATTTAACTGATGCCGTGAATTGTTTTAAATGTTGCTGTTCTCTCTGCCCACAGGCGTAAAGATGAAGCTAATATGCTCAAAGTCTTACCGTTAATGATTGTATATATATATAAAATATCAAAGTACGTACACTAATGAAATTAAATAATCTCGGTTTGTATTTAAGTACATTTACAATCCTAGACTGAGTTTACTCACCTGTTTGAACAATATGAACGGTATGGCCGGATTGTTGTAGGTGAATATGCTTGGATCTGGTGTGTACTGTACAAAGCTGGCCTCGATCTGACTGGACCCTGCCTGGTACAAGAAGCTGTTGGCCTCCCACTGCCCGATGACGTCCTCACCACTGGACTGAGTGTTCTTGACCAGCTTCAGAGATCCATCAGCAGAGGAGAACACTTGACCATCAGCTCTGAAGAAGGTGGGAGCGCTCTTCAGCCACACATCTCCCTGAACAACGACGCTGTAGGTGCCGTCACTGTTGACGTTCACAGCAAAGTCCTGCTTTCCATCGGAGACAGCTGAAGTTAAAACTAATGTATGAATATAGGAATGGTAGAAACAATGACATCCGCATCAGCTGATGCCCACGACGTTAAGTGAGTGAGGGAATATAGTTTGACGCCGCCTCTTTTAACAATATTCAAGCAATATCACGGCGGTGGACGCCACAACTGGGTTTCACACATTATACCCGTGTGGGGATTCGAATCCCGGTCTTAGCCGTGACGAGCACATGCCCTGCTTCCCATTTCCGATAATTTCCCATCTTCGATAAAGTTCAACGAATTGAAATTTCAATGAGTTCATCATCCTCAATGGTTCCCGACACTCTTCAAAAATATTTAGTGGCGTTGAGCTAGGCTTGTGGTTAAAGCGTTACGTCGAAGACCCGGGTTCGATTCCCCACATGGGTACAACATGTGAAGCCCATTTCTGTTGTCCCCCACCGTGATATTGCTGAAATATTGCTAAAAGCGACGTAAAACTAAACTCACTTGCTAATAACTATTGATACCAGAACTGTGTACAATTTCCATTAAAATGTTATTTATGCAAAACTATATATTTAAATATTTGTTTGTAATTTGATAATGTTCTTTGTTTTGCATTACCTTGGGATAGACCCGCATTTAATGGCATGTTAACAGAAATTCTAAAAGCATCGATAGGTAATGGCTGTTTGAACACGGCTTTGAATATCACACGAACGTATTCGATTTAAAAATGTTGCAAGATTGCATAAGTTAATGAAGTGAGTGAGTGAGTTTAGTTTTACGCCGCACTCAGCAATACTCCAGCTATATGGCCGTGGTCTGTAAATAATCGAGTCTGGACCACGCAATCCAGTGATCAACAGCATGAGCATCGATCTACGAAATTGGGAACCGATGACATGTGTCAACCAAGTCAGCGAGCCTGACCACCCGATCCCGTTAGTCGCCTCTTACGAAAAGCATGGGTTACTGAAGGTCAATATTCTAGCCCGGATCTTCACGGGTAGTTAATGAAGTTATGATACAACCAGTTCCGAATGATTGCCAAGAGTTCTAGATATTTCAATATGGCTGTGTAAATATATACTTACTGACACAGAGCCACGAGACCAGAAATACGTACACCCAGCTCCCGATACACATCTTCACACTGTAAAGACTGATGTAGTGCTCCTATCAGTCGATGTTATAGGCGCCAGTTCGAGCACTGTATCAGAACATAACCTAAATCACTGACATTGATAAGATGAACAGCAACCGGTTATCTGTCATTGTGTGTCAAGGTTAAATGTGAATGTCGACTTGGCTGTGCTGTCGGTGTTTAACGACTCCGTATCAATCTCAGATACCAATGTGAGCAAACATTGAATTAGAATCTTCGCATTTTCATTTCTTGTTCAATTTGGTGAAACCATGACATTTCGCTGTTATCTGCATGGTGTCCTGTGACCTTATGAATGCCTTGGGCTTTGTTCCTGTCCCTCACTAAAACATAGATTATGTATAGTGTCTCCTCGGAGTCTTTGTTGACAACATTGCTTCCTTCTGCCAACAGTAAATCTGATAGTATTGTCTCTGAAAATCTTCTAGAGCCTCATTCTTGAGTTGTATACTCCCTAGGGAATGATATTATTCCCTTTAAAATAAATTGTATTGACATAAACGGTCAAATGTATTTGTATGAAAAAATCTGTGGACATAGTTTTGCAATGAAATAATATAATGGGTGGCATGTCACTCTGTTTCAAGTTCCACTGGGGGAAAAAGAGCATGTAAAACTGGAGCAATGGCAGATACACTTGGGTATAAGCTATTTCATTGTCACAATCACAGAACATTTTGGAGTATAATCCATTTTCTCTCAAATAAATTCATATTGAAATTGTTTCTAGCAATATATTTCTCAATGTCATATACGTCTTTTAGTAACCCTTTATATTCGGTGAAGCTTGGTTTCACACCCTTGATACTCATGACAAAAATGTGGCGTTTGGCTAATATGATCATGTGGTTGAGCAAAGGGTCGCTATTAGCACAAAATAGTACATCTTGAGCAGGACACAATTAACAAAATTGGTGAATTCTTTCCAGAATATTCTAATGGTTGGACATTCAACTTTTCCCGAATCTTACGAGCTGTGTTAGTGATGCGATATATAGTATGACCAGAAATTATTGAGAATTTAAGGAATATGTTTAATTGGATTTCTAGTAGAAACAACCTTGTCCAGCTATAAAGTATTCAGTTTCATTCAAGAGAGACAACTCCGTTAATCCTTTTTTATTAGTTTGTGAAGAGTTCTCCCCCTTGTTTACTTGCTAGCAGACGACATTTTCAGTGATCCTCAGTATGGATGATTTAGAGAAGAGGAAGTTGATTTTAGAGTATTATAACAAGGACATCAGATCAGCTAAAGTGATTTCAAGTAGAGCAGGCATCCCTTTGTCCACTGTTTATCGTGTTTTAAAAAATATTGCAAATGGATATGGCATTGAGCACCAGGGAGGAGCAGGTAGGCCCAGAAAATTGACTGGCGACGACAAGAGGCGGCTTGGTATTCTTGTTTCCAAAAACAAACGAAGGAGTTTAGAAAACGTAAGGCTGGATATGATTGATAGAGGGACTGTGGATGTCTGTAAGGAGGCAATTAGAACTGAGCTGCATGCAATGGGTTGGCAGAAAAGTCGAGGTATTCCATCACCGATCATGAAACCTGAACAAAAGGAGCAAAGTTTGACTGGTGCTTACAGCATAGAAATTTTAACTAGGACAATGTGATTTTCTGAGATGAAAGATCTGTGTGGCTGTTTCCTAATACACTGAAATTCTGGACCAAACAAACTGAAACACCTTTGTATCAGCGCCCAAAGTACAGTCCGAAATTTAACGTGTGGGGTGGCATATCTGTGTTAGGGGCAATGCCCCTCTGTGTATTTGAAGGGAATATGAACAGGGAGCGGTACACAGGTATTCTCGAGGGATATTTACTTCCATCTGCTCACGTGTTCTATGGAATTTTTTTGTATTTTCCAGCAGGTCAACGACCTAAAACATCGTTTTAAGCATTCACAGGCCTGGTTTCGGACCCAAAATATGACATTATTAGATTGGCCAAGCTATAGCCCTGACCTACATCCAACAGAAAATGTTGGGGGACTTATGAAGGAAAGTGTCAATAAGAAAAATATTGCTGAATTGAAAGAAGAGGTGGTCCGATATTGGGACAGCATGGACCACGACTTTCTAACTTATCTGATCAGTAGTATGCCCCACCGCATTGAAGCCTGCATGGCTGCCCTTGGTGACTTGACTAAATACTAACTGTTCGCCTGTCTTTGAATCTGGAGTTATGTTCTGCTAATAGTCACATTTAATACGTGAGTAATGAGTGAAAAAAAAAGAAAGAAATTACAATATTAAATTTTCAATAATATCTGATTGTACTGTATTTCATTGGATGTGATGTTACATGTCCGAGTGATTCAGGATAAATAAACCTTGAGAAAAACAGAAAAGTTGTGACGATTCTAAACTTGAGAAGGACTGGCAGAGTTCCCTTCCGAAGGACCGAAAGTTATATTTCTGAGTACGAGCAGGTTGTTATTTTGGTACAGTGTTACCACTGTTATCGTAACTGACTATAAATATACCTGAAACCTTTCTGAATTGAGTCTTGCTTTAGATGACGTAATGATATCAATTTGTGACGTCATGAGCAGAAGCTGTTCTGAACAGGGAAGGTCTGTGACGTCAACTGCCAAATCAATTGCTGACATATAGGAGAAACATTACTCTCGATCTTTCAACAGTACATGTTTTTGTGAGGTTCAGTTTGGTGTTCATATGATATTGCAAGAACACTGTTATCTTTAGGGTGTCCTTTGGCCTCATGAATGTCTAGGGCCTTTATTCGTGACCCACACTAAAACACAGATTATGTTAAGTGTCTCCTGGGAGGGGCGGTGGGGTAGCCTAGTGGTTAAAGCGTTGGCTCGTCACGCCGAAGACCCGGGTTCGAATCCCCACAAGGGTACAATGTGTGAAGCCCATTTCTGGTGTCCCCCGCCGTGATATTGCTGGAATATTGCTAGAAGCGGCGTAAAACCATAGTCAGTAGTGGCTCCTGGGAGAACATTTGTTGACAAAATAGCTTTCTTCTGGTGAATAGCATTGTCTCTGAAAATCCTCTAGAGCCTCATACAGCTCCTTGAGTCTTATACTCTCCTGGGTATTATAGAGTGTGTGTACTTTTGCTTGTGAGACATCAGTGTTGACGTGAGTACGACCCTGTTTGGAGCCCAACATCAGTTGTAGATTACAGCAATATTTGATTGACAACTGACTGACCTTATTCTGGTAGCACGCTATATCATCATGATGTCAACAGGTCAGGGGTCACGCTTTAACCTCATGTTTATGATGTCTACAGGCCAAGGATATATCTACGCAGATTTTAACCTAGTACGTTACATGTGACGTGCTATTTTGAGAGATATTACAAGATAAAAACATAAAAAGGATGGCTCGTGATGTTTAATACTAACTGACAGGGAGACTTATGATTAACATTTCCACAATATTACAAACCAATAAGATTTGACGTCTCATGCACCACGTGACTTCTTTTGGCGAAGCATCGTGCGGCTTGCAGTACGAAAAAGATTATTGCTAAGTGTCCCCGTGTAGTAATACACCGGAATCTAATCGAATACACCATGAATGTCATTGCATGTACAAAAAGTGAAATTCTGATACAATAACGAAATTTGAGCTACCAAGTTCACACATAAAAGCTACCAAATGTACAAAAGTAAAAATTCATGAGTTAAACTCTACACATTTTTATGCCAATTATCATGTACAAGAATTCACGCATTCAGCGTTATCGAACCTGTGAACTCAGTTTTCGCCTCTTCCGGGTACATGTTCGACTTTTTAAAATATAAAAAGTGGATTAAACGTTTGTACCAAAAATATACCAGTGTTTGCTGGTTCTAGTAAGATTTACTGAAAATTAGTTGGGTACAAAAAGAACATTTTGGCCTCTCTTTCAGTGGTTAATAAGCGTAAGCTAGATAAATGTATGCAGTTATATATGTTCACATCGATACTCCCAGGATAATGCCGCTCGTAGGAAACGCTCCTAAGTTGGGCTGGGACTCCGCTCACCTCATCTATGTCTGAGTCGGCAACTCTGCCTGTCATGGCTGTCTTGTGTATGTGTTTATTGTATAAACGACTAAAGACGTTTGGACTCAACGTATTTCCTCGTCTTGATTCTGAGCTAGTTGGGGCGGTGGGGTAGCCTAGTGGTTAAAGCGTTCGCTCGTCACGCCGAAGACCCGGATTCGATTCCCCACATGGGTACAATGTGTGAAGCCCATTTCTGGTGTCCTCCGCCGTGATATTGCTGGAATATTGCTAAAAGCGGTGCAATACCATACTTAATCACTCACTGATTCTGAGCTAGTTCGCCTATCGACGTACACGCGTTGACAATACGATACCACAAAATATCACTATGTACATTGAATTTCGTTTTCATTTAACTCTATCATTTTCTGTCACTTAGTTCATTGGCTGACGGGGCCCAAGTGCCCCCGTCCCTCCTTCAGAAAAATGCATTTTAACATTTAAAAAATGGTTCCCGATGTACCTATTACGAGCATTGTTAATGTTGCCCGACGCGCTTTTGTGGCAATATCTTCTTGGACTGTAGATTCACCGCAACAAACTACCACTCACAATGTTGGTATTTGCATTTTCTTTCACATGGTATATGATATGTGCAAATCAGGTAGACAAGTAGGTCACCAGTGGTCAAAAGGTCACAGAATTTAGTCGATGCCCAAAATCTAACTCATGCCCCTTTATGTCAATGTCCTAGTGCCAAACGGGTAAATTTTATCATGGTAACACCCCAAAAAGTGAACTATGATGTTGTAACAAAACAAAAGGGCCAATTTTCGCTTCTATTGCATGTTAAGTAAAGGTATATGTCAAAAGTCTCAAGCCCTGAAATAGACTTTCATTAATTCACATATGGTCAAAGTCATTCGTTATCGGAGCTGTCACTCTCCTCACTGGACACGTATTCTTCATCTGAAGAGTTGTCATCCTCCTCCCCAGTATCATCATCACTTCCATCTAATTCGGCGACAGTATCTTCCAAAATGTCTACCAAATGTTGAGGAAGGA